TTGGTTAAAACTAAAAAATATTGAGACGCCACAACTTAGTAAAAAGCTCTCATGGGTTAACGCAAAATATCGCGTCCTCAAAGTTATATCCCCTCATGTAGTCGAACTTGATGTCCCATCGGGTATACATCCGAGATTTCACGTCAATTTGTTAAAACGAGATCCACAAAACCCCCTTCCGTCTCAAATTATGTTAGACGAGCAACCACCGCCGCTTGTGAATCCTGATGGTGACAATGAGCAATTCGTTGAAAAGATTCTCAGAGCCGAAAAGAGAAAGAAAGGTCGGGGCTTCCGAAGGGAGGTGTTGGTAAAGTGGAGAGGTTTTCAAGAGCCAAACTGGGAATTGCGCCAAGGTCTCGAAGACACGGAGGCTCTTGATATCTTTGAAGAAAGGTACGGTGTTGGTGATGACGTGGGAGAAGATGTCGGGGCAAGAATAGGTGTTACTGGCAAAAGGCAAAAACTTTTTACACCTGAAAAAAAGAAACGAGTAAAAAAAAAAAGAAAAAGAAAAAAGTACTGTGAGGAGGGGATAATGTTACAGGCTGCGCCTATCTCCTAGTGACTGTCGCACGGACACTTATCATTATTACGTCATTAGCCTTGCTATCTAGAGAGATGTCCAACTTGGCCATACAAATACAGGGTTGCAACAAATATGGAAACAAGATATTGTTGCAGCAAGTCTCATATGGAATCATGGGCCGATACGACCCAGATTCGCTATGACGAGCCCACTCGGAATATCAAGGATATGATGTAGTAGAATAGATAGTGAGGTTAGCGCATTGGGAGTTGGGACACCTTAAGTAGCATCCCCTCGGTGGACAGTTCCGAGATGTATGTAGAAAATAGACAGTAATCGGCCACCATTCCTTTACTATATTGTTTTGTTGATCGCCCATCACAAAGAAGACTTGATATTTTACAACTATGTGAACATTGGACTTATATATACATTTAAGTGAGAAATTCCCGCCAGTCTCGTGTGCCTGTCAAACCTAGTAATGACCAGCCACTTCTCATCTACCATGATGAGCCAAGATACACTATAGTACGTAAATATCCAAACGTATAGGCGACAGTAAGCGCGATTAGCGTACTCGGGACATGTGTAGAGGGAGTCGATCTTGTCGGGAACCTGGGACGAAACAGGTAGTGGTTGAGTCCTAAATTCGAGGGTCAGAATTCCCAACAGGAAGTGCCGCTTAAATCAAGAGTCTATTAATTTTCTGGGCTTCATAGTTAACACTTCCGGACTCCTGCCATACCCGAAGAAGCTGGAAAGTATTCGCACATGGGAGAGACCTACTAGCAAGACTGCCATTCAATCCTTCTCGGGGTTCTGCAACTATTACCGTAACTTTATTGAGAATTTCTCCCGGATCGCTAAGCCATTGTACAACCTGATTGCAATCCCAAAAGGCCAGTTGTTCCAATGGACCGAGCAAGCTGAAGAAGAGTTCCTTGCCCTGAAAGAAAAATTGGCCAGCCCACCCAACTTACTGTTCTTCGATCAGAAATAGCCTACACGTGTAGAGACCGATTGTTTTGATCTAGCAACAGGAGGAGTACTCAGTCAATTGCAGAAGGACGGCGTGTGGCATCGTGTGTTATGAATTTGTTAGATTTAATCTGGATGTGGTGATGCAGGGGTTATCTTCTTAATTCGGTTAGGTCTGAGGCAACAGGATTTGGATTTGTTCAGGCTGGAAACTTGAATTGGTTCTTTAGTTCTAACAACTTTTATGTTTATTGTATGATTTGCTTATTGGGAACTCGATGTTTTGATAACATGATAATCTGAACATATGAATTCGTAACCTTTGATAATTCGAGCCTCGATTACTTTCATTCGTACCTTCGTACATTTGACATTCGCACCTTCGACCTTCGACCTTCGTAACTTTGTAACCTCGAACCTTCGATAATTTGTCTTCGTCGAAATCGACTCGACCTCTGCAGCTTAACAGCTTCGAAAATCTGCCAATAAGTAGATTCATAACATCGTGTGGCTTTTCACTCTCGAACCTTGACTGGTCCGGAGGAAAATTATGAGATCCATGATAAATAGCTGTTGGCTATCATCCAATGCTTGAAAGAATGACGCGCAGAGCTCACCAGCGCCTTGGAGCCGTTCGTGGTTCTGACTGATCACCGAGTTCTGGAATACTTTGGTCAGAAGCAGCTACTCAACAATAGGCAAATCCGATGGTCAGAGGTGCTATCACAATTCAGTTTCGACCTTCAGTACCGACCAGGCAAGGAAAACATTATTGCGGACGCGCTATCTCGTAAGAAAGAACTTACCCCTGCACAAAAAGCCGCAAAAGAACTGGAACGTACGAAAATCCTCCTCCCTCAAAAGAAAGTTACGTTGCCACATGACAGCAAGGTGTTAGCGCCCATCGACGAGGATCTGGATACTATCGATCGTATGTTTATGGCCAACCGAGCAGATCCCGATCTCGAGGATCTACGCCAGCAAGCACGACAGCGGGAGGAACCTTATTCTTTGGAACCTACCGGGTTGGTGCTTCATAAGGGACGCGTGGTGGTGTCAGCCAAAGACAATCTCCGTACTCAAGTGTTGAAGATGATCCACGAATCTACATCCACCGCTCATCCAGGACGAAACAAAATGAGGAAACTAGTTGGCGACCGGTATTGGTGGCCACGATATGCAGCAGATATCGAGCGTTATATGCAGAACTGCCATGTCTGCCGACGATTGCATAAGCCTAGAGACAAGACACCGGGCTTACTACAGCCTTTAGCCATCCCAGAACGTACATGAGATGATATATCGATAGATTTCCACGATGTGGGGGTACCAGACAAACGAGGGTTTAATAACATTTGGGTAGCTGTTGATAGATTGTCTAAACGCCAAATCTCCATCCCCACCACTAAAAGTGCTACAGCAAAGACTGCTGCAGACTTGTTCTACCGTTACGTCTGGCGATTCCGTGGCGCATCGAAGACCATCACCAGCGACCGCGGTCCGCAATTCATTTCGGATTTCATGGATGAGCTGTCAAGGTTAGCACGCGTCAAACTCAAGCTAGCTACGACAGAATATCCGCAGACAGACGGCCAGATCGAAATTATCAACCAGATCATTGATCAGCGACTGCGACCATTTGTTAATTTCCACCAACACGATTGGGTGGAGCTGCTTCCCGCTCTAGATGCTGCTGCGGCAGCTATTCCAAATGAATCTACAGGATTGTCGCCATCAATGATTGACTATGGTTCCGAAATGCGTTTAGAATTTGACTGGAATCAGCGACTGGAACCACGAACCCCTCAAGAGAAGCTGAATCGGGACGAAGCCGCGGTGTGGCTTAAACGGATAAGCAGCGCGTTGGATTATGCTAAAGAGAGCATCAAACGCTCACAGGAACAACAGCGTGTTCAAGCCAATAAACATCGCCGAGAAGTAGACTTTGACGTTGGAGATAAAGTGTATATCCGGCGTGGTGTCTGGAGAACTACGAGACCGTCGGATAAGCTGGAAAATCCAATGGTGGGACCATATCGGATCAATGCCAAAGAAGGGCATTCATTCCGCGTACAACTATCCGCCTCTTGGAATATACACCCTGTATTTTCACCAGACTGACTGCGCAAAGATCCAGATAACCCGTTGCCCGGCCAGGCCAATCCAGAGCCGCTGGCAGAAGGGGTCAATGGGGAGTTAGAATGGGAGATCAAGAAGGTGTTGGACGCTTGGCTGTATCGCAATCGGCTGCAGTACAAGTTTCAATGGGAAGGCTGGGACGCAGATGAGGAATGGTATCCGGATGCCAACTTTCGGAACGCACCACTCATATTAGAAAAGTTCCACGCTGAGCACCCCGAATTGCCAGGGCCACCATGAAGTCTCGCTACGTGGTTGGACGATGCCGCATGTGATAGATTTAGTGAGGAACATCCGGAAGATAACATGGTGACCAACCAAGGTCGTGACATCCGACGCCGTCGCAGAAATTAGTCGATTTGGGACAATCAAAGGCTGGGGAGGGGGTGATGTCACGGCACGACATTCTGCCCCGTCAGGAGATATAGTCACGTGGGTAAAGAGACTGATGGCTGAGGCGGGACGCCCGAATAGAAATAGCCTCGGGGATTTTTATACTTAGATTCTATTATTTTCTATTCTTCTCCAGCTTAGTATTCGCTTCACAGATTGAATTATCGCTATACAAGCTGTAATTTCACTTGTGCCTATTCTACGCCGTGATAGGAAACATAAATGTAAACCTAATTCAAAATATGAGTTATGTAAAATCCGAACAAAAAGATATTTTCCTTGATACACATCATGCATCAGTATTAACTTCTCCGACCCGAGTCATGTTATGAGTAAATTCGGGTAAACCTGAAATGACTGTAGCTCAACAGAAGGTGTTGTGGTCCGCCTCCTGGTGGTGTTCTCCGTTATAGTCTGAGTAGCCTGGGCACCTACTCCACTTGGGAAGGAGGCGCCTCAGACCACATTTCGCACGGAGAAAAGTAAATGAATGATGGAGGAATGTCTGGATAACTCAGGGTTTTTGAGGCTTTCCCCTGAGTGGGTACTCACGGATGAGAGTTGACTTGGGGTGAAGAAAAAGCCGCCATAACTTCGCAGTGGTACTTGCAAATGAAATCCGAGGCATGAGTGCTCTTCTCATAAATTGAGTCATCTACTATACACTTCTCTGATACTGAGTCATAGCTAGATAGCTGCATATGCAACTAAAATCTGATGCAAAAAAAAAGATCAGTCTCTCTAACATTTGTTAAATACAGACTAGTTAAAATACGCAAGGAAGTCCCCATGATGATAATATCCATTGGATATTGAATTGGATGCCTGTATCTTCTTAACAAAGTACTTTTCATTAAACAAGCCTTTGGATGATATCTATGTCTGGATCGTGTCTGGTGTTGAAGTCTTACTCAGTAAAATTTTCGGTCCACGCACGAACTCTAAGATCTTTTAATACTACTTAAAGCCACTCGTAGAGACGTCCAACTGCAGGTACTGCAGGACTCATATCTATCTCTAGCATTAAACTCTGAAATTTTTGATTGCGATAGTGGCTAGGTTGTCTTGGGTTGGACTGCGAACTCGTGACAATATCTCGAAGTTCATCTTTGTACTCTTTTAATACCTCATCTATTTTTTCCATAACATTTTTTATTTGTTGATTTGTATTTTTTAAAAATTCGATGATAAATCTCCCTTTGTACCCCACATTACTCACAAGGGTATTCCATTTCCAAGACCTTTTCATTGGAAGCCAAACAAACAAGTGTAGATCATCTTGAAACCATGCTAGTGCATAAGTTTTACCATCATATTTTCCAACCCTGATAAATTGTCCACCTTCGACGTAATCCTTTATTTCGATTGGATTATTAATTCTGACTAGAGGTCTGTTCCAATCAACCAAAGGATTTCGAAAATGGAACCCACGGATCAAAGATATTTGCCGTTTGAAAGCCAGTCTGACAACAACTCTCTCATCACATATGTTCTGTTCCGAATTTTTGACAGAAACTTTTTTATTCACAATCCATAGATCTTTCTTGGCTTTGAATTCTGATTCGATCTGTTTCAAGCAGAGATTTTCTTTTTCGATATTATTTTTGTTTGGGATACGGAGGTCTCCAATCTCCTTTATCAATTGCCTAGAAACATCAAAAAAAATTGAGGACTCACTTTCCTCCAAAGAACAATACGCAGCAAAATAGGTACCTGCTTCGCCATATGTGGTTGGTGTTTTAAATATCGGTGTTCTCTCTTCAAGTTCGGGGAATTTTTGATCGAAGTTTAAAAAGTACGTCATACGGAAAGCCTCGGAATAATTGTCATGAACAAGTACCAGACGATTGTGTAAGCCCGAATTCAATCCTGTGTAAAACAGAATCGCAATGAGACACGACATGTTGGTAATTTGGATAAGTACTTTTCAACTTGACTTTGTCGTAAATGCAATTGTACAGCGTGTTAGTGATACACCCAAAAATACTGTCCTTTGAGGACCTTGGATATGCAGCCTGATAGCTACGAGGAAAGCGCTTAGGGAAGGTGATTAGTGTTGAATTTTGATGGTAGAGACCATTGGAAAATTCCACTTGGGAATGAATAGAATGTTGATTGTGAACATTGGAGTTGTCAATCTATGTTAATTCCTGGCTGGTCAGCCTGGAATCATTTCGCACGAGTCATTCTGTTGATAAAGTTGGTCTGATTGGATATCCTATAAATCTATTTGATACTTGATCTTGCAAGTACAAGGTACGATACGCGTAGGACCCAGAAATCCGGGAAATGAAAAATCCGAGTCATCTTGATGGGCGAAGGAAGTTTGGTTGAGGAGACACAGGGTCAATAAAATATCAAAAGAAGCATATTAACAATTCACGCAAGTCTTAGTACAATCAATCTACCTTCATCTTACTGAAAAACTATCGGGATCCAAGTTCTCGGCAACGAATTTGTTCTGCTTGCTGATTTAACTCTGAATTTGCGATGTTTTCCACGCTTAATATACAGAGTATGGAATGGAGGGATTCTTGATTTTTTTCTCCACTGATAATATTATGCGTGTGCAGCTATCTATCTATGATACATTGTGAATATGATTAATGTGTTTGTTCAGTCCATGGATTCGTAGGATTTGTAAAGGTTGTTATCTACAGGCCAAGAATATTTATTCCTCTAGTGGTAAATCTTATCCATTGCATCCTTCACAACTTTCATACTCTGGAGCCGGGCCTCACAAGACTATATCCAATCATAAACTTGGGGGAGACTTTCGCCTCTCATCATATCCCCAATCCAAGCGACTAATTGGAGGTCATGGTAAATATATAATCTTCACGAAAATGTAAGAGCCACTAGGTACAGGGATCCAGTGATACTGACATTAGGACTAAATCCAAAGACATAGCTTCCATTCTGAAGCGTTTCGAGAGCTGTGCCATCCGGGCACTGCAGATTTGTATTTACCGAGAGGAATAGCTCCCTACCTTTCAAGCTGATTTTCGACATCTTCCGGTATTCCAAAGGACCTCCAAAAAGACTGGTCTTACGCATGCAACGAAGAATGAACGAAGCTGCTCGCGCAGCACTTGCTGTCTTCCGTACTACACCAATAGCCGCTCTTCGTGAAACAGATTGGGGCCCCGCAAAAGCCTGGCTTGAGCGCATATACCATCGCCTCGCCATTCGTACCTCTGCAGCAGTGTGATAGAACATCACATTTGTTCATCACAATTGAGGGTCTTAAAATTATTTTATATTTTATCTGGGGAGTATAATGACTACGAAGCGCGCGCGAGATGTTTTGTCCCTACCGAGCGCTTTTCCCCGTGACACTAGCGCGCTCTTGTTCATAGTGTGAGCCGAATATTTCCGTATCCACATACAAGGCAACAGTCTGTAAGTAGCAGACCCTAGATACCCTCTTTGTAGAAGGTGGAATTCTTCGAGAATGTGCTGGATCCGACAAAAGATTTACTCGGAGATTTTAGGAGATAACATGCTTCCCCATAGCAAATTTGGGCGTGATGCGTGTTTGGGAAAGATAGGCGCTGTTAGCCTAACAGCGGGAGTCGACTCCTTTACTGTTACGGTTTGACCGTTGTCTGGGCTTATGTGGATACCTAAGCGTATTGTTGAAGATTCATGTTGTAAGACTGTAAGAAAATGATAGAGGAAACTGGAAGATACGGCACTACCAGCCAAGGGGCCAGATCAGTGTCACAGCGTAGTGATTCTTGATAATATGTGGTTGGGTGGCAAGTATTCGGCCTAGGGTGAAGAAATCAGTCAAGACAATCACTGAGGGGCTTAATATTATAAATACCCGTTAGTTGTAGCAAGATTTCTCTTTCTTCTTTATACAGTTTATTAAATCGACATTATCATCACCAACTCGGGGTTCCCGTCACATTCACCCATTAGTATGGCCAACAATCTATGTTGGATCTATTTGCTTTCTCTGAAGGAACTCTGATCGAGAAACAAGCAGGAGTCAGATACTCAGTTTGACATAGTACGAACCATAAGATTGCCCGCGGAATCATCCCTCTAGGCGTCTCAGCAGAAGTTAATGACGCGGAAATTTCTGGAACAACAGAGGGCCCAACAGCTTCCCTCCACAATCTCATGGCCTTTTATGCAATCAAATCAACTATCTGCCTAGATAACCAAGAAGCGGCTCTTCGACTCTTCTTATTAACACCTACCGTAACAAGCTCTCGCCACATTGCAAAATTTCGGCAGCTAGCAGCTAATTGGACAAACAGGACACGGGCATCCTGTACTAGAGCAGGAGCAGTCAGTGTTAGATGGTGCCCCAGACATTCTAGAATCCCTGGAAATGAAGCAGCTGATGTTCTAGCGAAGTCGGCTTGTCTAATGACTGCGCCAGCCATACCTCCATCTAAAGCAAGTGCAAAAAGAGATTTTTCTCTGTTGTATAACGCTTCCGCCATCGCTTACTAGGCCCAGGAAAGCCCCTCTGGGTACAAAGAACTGAGGATTGGTCCTAGTCTAGGAATAACCTTATGTTGTGTCTGTGTCACGGTTTCAGTACAAAATGTTTGGGCGATCTTGTAGGTACAGTGTGTTAATTATAATTCTCTAGAGAGAGAATTCCTATAGCTAGACTACAAATATATATACACTCTGAGATACTCCCCTCCTATAAGGTTCCCCCTATGACTAGAATAATATAGAATCTTCGAAGATTCCCTATAAGACTCTCGATATGTCTGTCATCCTCATGAACCTTCAGTATACTTCCAGAAGGTTCATTAAGAATCTTCTAAGCTCCGTGTATCCCGAGATTCTTCCCGAAGATCCCCGAAGATTCCCTTGATGTCATTGCCTGCACTAGCCAGCGTAGGCTACAGGAATTCTTAGGCTTAGCAGCCTTTACAGTCTGGACCCACATAGCTACAGTGTGTCACAGATCAACTATAGAAAGCAAGGAGCATTCGTATGGATGATGGTATTTTATAATTCAACTATGGAGACCTAAGTTCTACATACTAATCCAGGTATATATACAGATTTATTACATTCTAAGTTCTTCCCTCCATGGTCAGCTCATTTCTAGATGATTCTAGTTGCTACTCTAAGGGTATTATTTCTAGCAGCTTCTCCAAGGTTCAGTATCAGTCTTACTCACATGGTGACTTTTCTAGTCCCTTCTTAAGAGATTCTAGTATCTTTTATGTGGTATTTGCGCCTGCCCGTTCTCCGGCGGTTGTACGCCAGTACTGGCTACAGGAAATACCGGCTTTGTAGCCATTACACAGTGCACAGATCAAGTTATGATGGTCACGCAACTGCATGCGTTTGCTCTGTTTGCTCCTGCTTTGTTGAGTTAGTATCATTAGTAAGCAATAGTCTAGGAACTATAATTAGAGAGCTTTCCTCCACAGTAGATAGAGAAAGCAATTCAGTCTTTCCTCATTCTACAGAGATCATTCTCCGCTCCACTTCTTGACCTGTCCGGCCCAGCAGCCCATCTGTGATCACTAGCAGCTAGCTCCCACAAATTGTATGTACACTCGAATCATAGACTTATCACAACACCTTAAAACTGAAAGGTCTAAGCCGGCGTGTACTTGGGGCGTTAATTGCAGCACGTTCCAGATACGGAGGTTTTGCCCAATACCATAGGCGTTTTGCACACGAAGTTTCCTGAATGACTTGCCCCTGTGGCGAAGAAAAAAGTCCAGATCACTTCTAATGTAATAAAGGAAGAAGCCGTGCCCGTCTCCGCGGTAGACCTCGACATCCCTACCCCAACATAAAATGGGTACTCGGCACGCCTAAAGGTGCCCTCTCCTTCGGAAAATAGGTTGACCTGACGAAGTGCTGCGACAAAATCCAACAAGCCCACTAGATATTTCCTGGTGAGAATTTTTCGATTTGGTGTGGAATTAATGTCAAATGGGAGTATTTATTCTTATTTGCTTTTTCTGCAGGTATAATTTCAAACTGCGTGTTGGAAATCCAGATTCTATGTGTCCGAAGTTTCCCTATGATTGGAAAAACTAAGGTCCTCATACATGACTCACAAACAAGATGATTAATATCTTCTTTATTGAGCATGTTTGATGCTTGAGATTCAACTATTGCATGTTATGGTTTGATACTTGTGTAGACTTCAATCTACCGATCCCGACCCCATACTCATTTTGTATACTGTAGTGCGATTCATTGTCATTGTTAGGGTATGGAACGAGGGATGGATGGTATCTAGTTTGGATTTGGTCTATCAAGTGTACATGTATATAAGCTGTCCAGGAATCACCAAGACAGATGACCAAATTAATTAATTCAATCCATCTTTAATTTCTCCAAAGTATATAGTATATTTTCCCGATTCATATCATTACTATTCTATTAATAAATCGCGCCCATATTCTTTGAGCTTCCTTACTCATCGAATCCATAGCAATTTTTCAACACTACTCGTAAAACGAAAGTGAAGTTACTGGTAGCGGGAAATTTGCTACACTTGAATTAGAAATTAGAGTGGCGGACAGCTGGCTGGACTCTTTTATAGTTTCAATTTAATTAGTTACGGAGATTGGAAGATTTACATACTGGCCTTGAGGTTGATCTAGAAATATGATGAATGTATCTACTTTTCGATGAAGTTTACTGATGTTTAATAATTAATTAATTGCGATTAGATTGCTATATTTCTATATGTATGGCGAGAAATCAATCAATGTACATAAATGCGGGATTTTCCGCACATTTTTGTGAACTCCAACAAACCTCCTTATCCAACCTAAATGGGAAGGAGGGCAAGACTGAACACCTGTACACGGTGTCTTCTACAAACCTGGGTTTTCTGTACTTTTCTTTGATATTGTGTCATAGCTAGATAGCGGCACATGCAATTAAAATCTGATGCAAAAAAAAGAAAATACGAGCCTGAGAGTGAAATATTCTCCAAGAGCCAAGTTCAGTCGAATTTCGCAATACCGAACAAGTTGGCCCACGAGGCAATGATTCAAATTACTCCACCACGTCAAATTTTCACTCCCAACGAGATGGATTCCTACCTAAGCCTCATCAATTCTACAAGTACGACCTAGTACATCCTCATCCCAATGATCACACCTCTCGTCGACTTTCTCTGGCCTCAGCCGGTCACCAAATACACGTCCGCGCCGATATTTACACCCGCCGAAGGAAGCAAAGCACGGCGCACAAATCTAGGAGACAGTTCTTTGGGATGGGCGTGAGAGGTTTCAGGACAAGTTGATAAGATGATGCGAAGGATGGATACAGTCTCGACGGGCGTGTAACTTTGAAATCTGGAAAGGAGTTTTTACAAACTGAGCTCTGTGCGTGCCAAGACTTCGGTTGCGAGAGTGCTGGCCACACTATAAACACCGCCATGGTTGGATAGTGCGGTGGTACATTGTATTGGTTGGTCTGCCAAGTAGAGTCTGGATAGCTTGGACACATATCCCACTTGAGACAGTAGATCGCTGGTTCAAATCCAGCAAAACACAACCACTTTTCTCGCGGCGCTGGTACACATGGATAACGAAGGCATGCTTGGATAACCAAAGGTTTTGAAATTCTCTTTGGTGGGTACTTACGGAGGAGGGTCGACTGTTTGTGTAAGTGAACATACCTCATAGTGGTATTTGCGAATGAAATCCAGAGCATGAGTATCTATAGCGTCAAAAGAGTCATCCCATATGTATACATAGCACCGGTCATCTGTTATAGCTTTATAGCTGAATACACATTAGATGATTTAAAAAATTAAGAAAAAAAAAACCCTCTGAATGGGAAGGTTGTTGGAGACCCTAAAGCCAATGTATGCCGTCAGGCATCTATTTCCTAATTTCTATTCATGCCAATAAGTGATAATATGGGTTGATCATATCTCATGGCGCATATGCACATTATTCTGATATCTAAATGTCAAATGACCTAACGACTTAATGACCTTTGTATTAGAATTTAGAGCCGGCAAAGACAAATTCTTCACCTTCCAGTGGTGCCGGTATAATCGCTCAGTAAGCTCTGCAAGTCTGGGATGGCCAAGAAGAATCGCATCCAAATCGAAGTCGAAAGCACTCATGAGCACATCTAAAATCGACGACTCATCGTCAATGTCTGACCCATAATTCTCACGCAATTCCTCTACCTCAATCTTACTACATCACCTCGCCTCAAATACCGATAATGGCGTTTTTTTTTGATTTACATCCTATTTGAGTCTGCGACTATTGAAAGATGTGTAGCTACACTACAATGATAATAGCGTTACTCCAATTGCAATCGGGCATTTGCCTTATCAAAAACCGGTCATCTCCCACTACACACTTACGATGCTATGTATACCCACGAGGAGGAATTTAAGTCATTATCTAAAAAGCTCGGGTCTTGGTCTTTAGGGGACCCTTGCTCTAATGGGGCTTCACATCTTGAGGGAGGATAGGCAGCTGGGACGTGGGACGAATGAGTGAAGAGGTCAAAAATGGGCATACTGGGACGCACATTTTTCGAGTATTTTCGACTTTAGATTGTCTATGGGCGTAGAGGCAAAGATTTCGGATAGTGCAACCGACACTCTAAAAACAGGCAACGATGAAAAGTGTTTTGGTCCGCCTCCTGGTCGTCATCTCCCCGAATTAAAGTCTGGGTAGCCTGGACACCTACCCCATTCGAGAAAGGGAAGACTGTGAGGCCATATGTCGCGTGATGGCTATATAAAGGATTACAAAGGCATATTAGGTTAGCCAAAAGTCTTTTGTGTTTTCCCTTTAGTGGATATCAACGGTTGAGAGAAGATTTGAAGTCCCTAAAACCAAGGTCTCGAGTGGTATCAGCAAATGCACCCACTACATGAGTAGTCCAAATGTCAAACTGAGTTATCGTTGTACATAGTCATCGTGGAAGCTAGTCTTCTCCGTGTCACGCTCTTTGAGTGCAGGGCTTGTGCCCGTCACGAATAAACTTTCATTCATTCGCAGTTGTGCCTGCAAATAAAATCCGAGGCATGAGTGCTCTTCTTTTAAATTAAGTTATCTATTATACACTTCTCTGATATTGAGTTATAGCTAGATAGCTACATACGCAATTCAGATCTGATGCAAAAAGAATAAAAAATAAAGCTTGTGATATAAACACTACTCGAGTATTCCGACAGTACGATTTGTCTATGGCAGCCATGTTGCTGCCTTAATTACAACAGTTTCAAGGTGCTGTAGGGCGCGCTAGAGCGTCAGGTACTTCTAAAGGGACTAGGCCGTCAAACACGTGACTAAGGTCAAGAGCTGTGGACAGGCACGACATTAAATTCAATCAAAATTAAAATCAAAACAAAATTAAATTCATATTCAATTCACCTGCCGCGACTATGTTGTAAATATGGGCAGCCTGACCTTTGTTAACGTGTATCGTTCTCCGGGCACTCGTGGAACATTGGAGCCTCTACTGAAGTGTTGGTATAGAAGACCAGTGGCTGGAAGCGATTTCAATTCTGCGTCACAGTATCAGCAACCGCTAACGACAAATCATTACGGCAACGGTAACCAGTATATGGAATGAGTATAAACTGAAAACATGGATATTGTCAGACTTTGTTGGTAAAACATGAAGTAGTACGAGCTGGGTGCCGACACGAAGTCGGTGAATAAGGTCAATTTACTGATATCCCGAAATGCATTTAATTTTGTCTTTTCCTTCTTTCTTCTTCTTCTACATGCGCGTCGCTGATGAGCTAAGATAGATCCCTGTCAGAGTCCTAACGACATCCTGAACACTGAAATTACATAGAACAATTCATACCGCCCAAATGTGATTCTTTTACCGATAGACTTGTTATTAGCCAACGCATAGGGATGGTAATTTCCTCTGTTACGGTTTGACCGTTGTTTGAGCTTAGACGGATACCTAAGCTTAATATTGAGAATTCATACGATAAGGTAGCAAGAGAAGAGATGAAGTTGAACGAAACGGTACTACTAGTGAGGAGGCTGAAATTTTATTTCAACTTATTGATACCTTGAAATAAGTGGCTGTGTTGAGATAATATCAGTAAATAACGGGCGCCGCACCAAAGGTGCGAATTAACGTCTAGCGCTGCCAACATGCAAGCGATCGGAGTGGCGACACCATAAGCTCCTGGAATATAAGCGCAAGCCGCAAGAGGTTATTTACCGCTCAGCGTGTATGTAACAGCATCGAGTGTATAAGCGTATCTCGAGTGCCCCTAAATGAAACCGATACGGTTGCCCCTGGATCAGCTATCCAGGAGCCCTCAATTAGGGTATGGAGCTGCAATGATATTTATAAATTTATTTATAATAATTAACGTCGTGCCCGCGCACAGCACGTGAGTTCCTCACGTACCGGTTAGCCCAGTTTAAATTAAACTACCCGACGTGTTGGCGCCCTCACAGACCCACCAAAGCAAACAATAGCTAGGATTTTATCATCCTCTCGAAGATTATAGTGTACATGAAGGTCGTCCGTCCAACGAATCTCATGCTATGCCGTTGGTACTAAATCAAGAAAAGATTTTACAAAACAAAATAAAAAATAAAAGGAGAAGATTGTTTACATTAGATCGTGATTTAGTTCGAATAAGACTGTTCGTTGTGCCCTTTCGAAGAAATCTGTGACACGCACCCAATTATTGAATGCATCAACTCCCTCCGCCGAAGCAAGTGCCCAGGATACGCTGGGATTAGAGTTCTGTGCCCTGTGGAGCTGAGCTTGGTATTGCCCGAGGTGGCAATAGAAAAAGTGGTTAGGGGACTTCTCTTCTCCGCACGTGCAGGTTAGAATGGCGTTTTCATGCTGAAACCGTCGGTGGTAGTCCGCGAGGTCGCCATGACCGGACCGTGAAGCTAGTAGATATCCTAGTGCGCGTCGCACCAGACGGGCGAGTTCAACGGTGATTTTCGTATTAGGGCCAATTCCTAGTTCTTTGTATCTAGAAGGGGCATTTTCTGCCCAATATAGTGCGACTGAAGCCTCGTATTGGGCTTTGACTTCTCTCCTTGCCCTCGCAATGGAGAGTTCTAAGTTTGGAGCTGGAGCTGCACAGGCAGCTTTGGCAAGCGCGTCGGCTGCTTCGTTCCCGAGAATACCTGCGTGGCCTGGGCACCATCGGATAGCCACTTTCCCAGGCGTCGTATTTTGACCGCGTGATCTTCTTTCCCAGTTCATTGCGAGCTTGCGAAAGATTTATATTTTCGCCGAGCTGGACACTGTGGGCGTATCCAAGAGCAGACGGATGGCAGCCTCCTGGTTTTCAAGGTAGACAGTGACGTTAGAGGCAACATAGGCCAGTGGGTTTCGAAGAGCTGCTGAAAGACCTTTCGTAGCCTCAGCAATTTCAGCATCATACACTTCTGCCGAGTTTCCCAGCGGGAGTGATCCTCGTCTAATCTCTTGCGTAAGACCTCGATAGATGACATAGCCCGCACCTGCTAGGTCGTCTATTAGAGCTCCGTCTGAGAATACGAACAAGTCAAGAGTAGGTCGTGTAGCCTGCTACTGTTTGAAGGGATTTGATCCAAGGAGTCTACCTATTGCACCAATTTCGATGAGCTTTTCTTCACGGGATGACGACCACGGTGGAGGGATGATGTCCTCGGAAAGTTCTGGCGAGATTATTTGACGGATCCAGCACATGCGGCTAGTGTTCCAACGCCTACGAAGAGGATGATAGGGGTCAGCTGCAGCAATTCGAACCGCTAGACAGCTGTGAATTCTGTTAAGCCACGTCTGAGCTGGGCCCCAGCCAGCTTCACGTAGAAGTGCTGCTATTGGTGTGGTCCGGTAGACTGGGAGAGCTGCCTGTGCCGCGTCGTTCATCCTATGTTGGACTTGCAAGATAATTTTTTAGGAAGTCCGTTTAGAGTACCAAGTCTTGGCCCCGTAGAAAAGGGTCTGTGTGAACTGGCTCACAAAATGTTATGTATAAGGGTCGAGTTGAGGCCTTTCCTTATAGGGAATAGCGTTTAGCTAAAGGCAACAATGTATTTATAGAATTCCTCCCGACAGGGAGAAGAAATATGAATGAATTGAGTTACCCCACACAAGCTTGTGAATTGACCATTGGTAGTGTTCCGACAGGGTCGCAAAGGCAGCACCTTGTAGAGCTTGTCTTAGAAAAAGAGGACTTATTCCTCGAGTGGTTGTGGACAGTCTCTTCATATGGCTCGTGATAGCTAGAGACTTCCGGCAAGCCTGTATAGTATGATATTGGAACCGAAGAGCACGGTCGAAAAATATTCCAAGCCAGCGAGTGTGGTCTTTGGGCGTTATAGTTGTTCCTCCAATACTAAGAGTAGGCTCTAGTGGTGAGCCTCGCTTCCGGTGAAAGTATTGCAGCTCAGTCTTAGGAAGTTCGAAACTAATTCCATTAGTAAATCCCCATGCTATGGTGCTGTCTAATTTCTCTTGGAGTTTGCGTGCACACTCGACAAGGGAGGGCGCAGACGCAAAGAGGGCAAAATCATCTGCATAGCTAAAGTGGCCAGTGGAAAGACGTTGTGCCTCCTCCATAGCAAGAAGAAAAAGAATTGGGGATACAGGCGAGCCCTGTGGGAGACCACAGTGAGTTTGGAAGGGCGGAGAGATAGTATCTTCAATAGAGATTGTGGATTCCCGCTCTTCCATGAAAGATGCCACCCAGAGAACCACTCTCGGTGGCCATCCTTGGATTCGAAGTCTATGGCAGAGTCGTCCTTTCTGGATACCGTCAAATGCCCCTTGGACATCAACAGTCACTATACCAGCTACTTTCTTTTCCGCCCATTTTGCTTGAATATCACAAGCGAGAGCTGTGGTAAGGTCAGAAGCGGAGCAAAGAGGGATGGCACTGCATTGGTCTTTGGCGAGTACCCGATATTTTAGAGCTTTGTATGAAAGTCGCCGTGCTATCAGTCTCTCGAAGCCTTTACCAAGGCACGTAAGTAGAGAGATCGGTCTGTAAGACTTCGGGAGGGTGAGATCTCGATTTCCTGATTTCGGAAGGATAATCACTGTTGACTTCTTAAAGGCTAGCGGGTGTATTCCTAGTTTTTCACACCGGTGGAAGAGAGCTGACACCCTATTGCCAATTATTGGCCATGCTTGACGGAGAGAATTCGGAGTTATTTCGTCAGGTCCTGGGGTTGTAGACGAGACCTGAGGTGCAATGATAGTGGCAGTGCTGCGACTAGCAAGTAGATGATATATACGAGCTGGAGGAGCAGTCATGGCCGCTCATGAATCCACGGCTCATGAGCGTTGGATTAGTGTCACGGTTTCATTACAAAATGCATGAGCGATGCTGTAGGTACAATATTTTAATTATAATTCTCTGAAGAGAGAATTCCTGTACTTAATGACTACCTATATATAAAGTCTAAAATATCCCTCCTCGATAAGGTTCTCTCTATGACTTTACAACTCAGACTCTCCGATAATCGCCTAGAAGATCCTTGATACTCCTGTAATCCTCTTGAACTCTCAGTAGGTTTCAACAAGGCTCAATATGAATCATCTAGGTTCCCTGTCATCCAAGATCTACCCAGGAACCTCCCTTTGTATAATTGCCTGCGCTAGACAGCGTAGGCTACAGGGACTCTTAGGCTTGACAGCCCTCACAATTAGTAGTGGTATTGCTGTGGATAGTCAATCAAGAGATAGAACTAAGACTATGACACGGGTCATAATGGTGTACATAAGATAGCATATGTTCGCTCTTCTGACAGTATCAAAATCAGTTGAACACATCCTCCACACACTACTATCAGATATAACAGGTGACAAGTAACTATGTTCCCATATAACTCATAACCTTAACAGGCTAGGTAGGAAATACTGTGCCAAAAGATAAATCATAAGTCTGTAGATTCACGAGGAGACACAACTCTTATTAATACCTGTTAGAAGTAGCTAGAGTTCTCTTTTCTCCTCAAGTAGTTTAATAAATCGATTAATTCATCACCAACTCGGTTTCCGTCACACCTGGACAAAACTTGGAGCAACACAGCGGTGATAGCATCAGTTTCCACACCTTATCATTGCACCTCAAATCACTCGGCCATCGATGGTACCGCGCTGGATTCTACGGCGTAAGGTCTCTCTGGAATTGTAAGGAACACTCGTGTTAGCGACGCCAACTTAAAGGAATTTAGTCGATGCGTTAGCCAATAGACCAAACCTGGCCCTCTTGACAGTGTCTTGGAAATTGTTGTGCTGGTGATGGCTAGGATTACGATGCACAAGGGTAATGATCACTGAGGGTGAAGGAAGAACTTTCCAGGTGGCTCCATGATGAGTAGAGGAACAATGGAGCACTGTATAGAAAGTGTTTCTAGATTGTACTGCCAGGTGGAGGAGACTAGAAAATTCCGTGGTACTGTTTTGGGTAAATAAGGCGAGAGTCTGGCTACCTCAGATGTGTATATAATTAGCGCTTTCTACCTCCTAAACCCTCATAGTTCTGAGTATCAAATATATCAGCAGTTCACATTGATTCATTGATAATCATCCGTAAACCTTCTACCAATTAACCTCCGCCAGCTCTTACCTTTACAACACTCGTGCATGTCAAGGAGATTTTTAGATTTAATGAAAGCTAAGGTTTAGGTTTGTTGGTTACAATCCGCCTAATATCGAGAGTCACTTTCATCACGTTTTCAGTGGTCTTGGATAAGTGGTTGATTTGATTTATTGTACTACCTGAGTCATAGATCATCTGGCATATTGGACTGCCGTTTGACCCAGGCCACACCTTTTACAGTGCTCTAATCCTCTATGGTTATTTTTAAGATCGTTGATATATTGCCCTTGATGAACAGCCATGCAGTTTAGTCTTAAGCCGTGGAATTCAGCCATCTTTTCCACTGAACTTTCTACCCAAGAAAAAGGTAGCAGTGGAAACTGCGCGTGACGGGCTAGGAATTTCAAAGAGTTAACGGAAGTAATTCCACTATAAAATATTCGTGTTTTATGTGGGGAACTCGGGAGCGGGAAGCTAAGGTGCTTTGTAACTGCAATGCCCGCTCCAGATCCCCTAAGCTTTGCACGTGGCCTACCAACACTTCGGTAACCACCGTAGATTTGCCCACTATCTTGCGCACACGTAGCAAGGATGGGCCCTAAAGTCATACCGAGCCCAGCGAGAAGCTGGCCGGGCCTAGCCTGCCACACCGCGTGCGCGGAAAAAAGTCTCAAAAGTCTCGCAGCTTCAGCCAAGCGAGCCATTATCACGGGAGCCACATGAGGCGTGCATATCCATATACAGTCCGGACTCGTTATAAGGATGTCTTCTTCGCGCACGCATCACGTTCTCACATTAAATGTGACAAA